AGTCGAGTGGAACTCAGCCACTGCCCTACACTTGTCGAGCCTCACATCCGGATCTCATATCCGGATCGAGTTACCTCGACCACTACCACTACCTAGCCGATGACCCATACTACTAAAACACCCTATGAAAGCAATAATAATAAAGGACCGAAAGGAAGGATTAGGTACAGATCGCGCCTTACCTCTACCGTGAACCTTCTCTACCGCGGGGCTGGGGTGCTGAATTCCTTCTCAAGCTCCTCTGATTCTGTCTTCCTAAGTGTTTCCCTTTGGCTCTGGAAGGAGAGAATGATTTTGGTGTGTAAAATATGAGTTCCCTAACTCCCTATTTATACTCCACGAAAATCCCCCTAGAGAATATTCACTTTTCTTATTTTTCTCCACATCCTTACTACACGGGCCAAACCCACTAGCCTCCACGTTTTTCCTTCCTTTCCAAGGAAAACTAGGGTTTCCTTCCCCTTTCTTCGGCCGACCTAGCCGCCCTCCCCCCTTGGGCGGCCCGTTTTCCGTTCACGAGCCTTGCTTGGGTTACCCATTTCCCCAAGTAGCAAAAATTGCAACCCAAGCCAACCCTACTCCTAATTTTGGGGTGTTACACCAACACCTCAAAAGATTACACTATATACTACAAGACGATCGATATCCTAACCGATGCAGCCTGACAATCAGCTGTCACATTCCTCTAACCCGTAACAGGTCAACTTAACGAATCACAAAACCAGGCATTTCCATTCACATTCCACTAACAACCTAACACGCATGCTATACACACAACACTGTATAACTATCCCTAGACATGACATAAACATAAGCTAGAAGGATTACGAGTGCTGTATATCTACAGATCACCCCCTCACCTTAGCCTTTCAGTAGACAAGCAAAGCACGGAAGAGCAGCTACAGATCGGCATAGACATAGAGAGACATTAGGATTCTGATCACCTTTCCATTTCAGGAAAGTTTCCTTTTTTGAAAAATTTCCAGATTCTGGAAACTTTCTACTTCAGGAAAATTGGTTTCCCTTCCAAGATCCTAGGGTTTTCTCAACTTAGAAAGTTAGGGTTTCCCTTCTCGGCGGCTAGGGTTCCACTTTCCAAACCCTTAGGGTTTCCTAAACCAGATCTAGGGTTTTAGGTTACCTTGACATGAAGTAGGCGACGACTAGGGTTTCCTCCCCTAACGACGTGGTTGCAATGACACGAACGTCGGCGACAGCGGCTTAGGCTTCACGACATGGCAAGACCTTCCCGATGCATCGGCGGCTCCAACGTTCTCTTCCGCT